CGACTCTTTGTGATATCAATGTAAAGTAAAAATTTAGTATAAATTAACCTTAAGTGGTTGTCCATATAAATTGCGTGCTTTATCAAAAAATAATCGCTTATAATTGTAAAGATCTTTTCCTTGTATAAAATCCAGTTGCATTGTTGGAAACGGCATAAATGTAACTGCACTCAATGTTTGATTCCAGTACACGATTATTGCATTTAACACTTGTCGACTCCAAATGTTCTTGAAAATGTTCAATAATTCTTTGTCGGCTGAAGTGTCCAACTCTTCTTCTAATAAAAAGATGTATTTTGTTTCTTTGCTTCTTGGCAGGTACATTTCGATAAAATCCAAATTGAGTGCGTCCAAATTTCGAACAATATTTAAATTGTACACTTGAATTCCAATGACGGTATTACTTAATGTCCTCGGATAATCAATCTTGAATTTATCGCCGGTCATGTTGAAGTCATACCTTCGAATTTGGAGAAAAGGCAATTTTCGATTTAGTTATGCTTGTCACTTGTATTTTTGAGCGGAAATCATGTAAATTGAGCGGCAAAAAAAGAGTTTACTGTTTACCTTGATACTAGAATGCCGGCTGTCATGCATTTATTTATTCGATTGATTAATATATCAGCCAAACCCGTTGACAATGATCTTTCTACGTAGATGTGATTGAAACGATACGAACTATTATCCATGCAAAATAAATGGGCAATGTACTCGATCATTTCATGGTATTGACCGACTGTTTCGTCTTCAATCGACTGCGGAAATATTAACTCTTCGTTATAAACTGTTTCATTTGTTACGTTATTCGCTTTATTTAAATCAAAAATCGCCAGCAGCATTAAAACAACCGATATGAATCTCTTGCTTCGTTCACTCGTCATTTCGATTATGCGAGGTTCTTATTTTTTGTGTAATATCCGCTGCACGCGATTTTCGATGTTAACACTCCTGATTCACAGACTGTATTGAACTCATACCGACCATAACCATATGCTTTTTAGTCAGTCACATTAAATTGTCCCTATGCACTGTGTATTCTATTCAAATATTCAAACGCTCAATTAGCTACTTTTATGCGATAAAAACAAAAACAAAAGAGAACTATATTTATTAGGCTGTCACAATTGCCGATATAAATGCAAACGCTATAACCAATTTGTTGCGCGTGTATGTCCTTTTCGGTCCTTTTCATGTACACACACATACACCATTCAACTTTCGCCATTTGCCTATAAATGACTTACACTTAATGTATTGATATCAGTCAAAAGAAGCATTGTATTTGCACAGACAAATGCCATCAAGTTTATGGAAAATGAAAAATAACACACGTCATATCTGAAATTCCGACCCGTTTATATGACAATTAATTAGAGTTACACGTGAAGCGATATTTATCAGTAATTAAGCCAACGTCAATATATTATAGGTAATATGCTCTTCAGAGTCTGAAGTTCAGTACACACTGTTGAAGTGTTTAATTTTGAAAATCGCATCATATCGAAATCCAGTATGGGCCAACATATGAAGAGAAATTGACAGGTTTCACATTTCACATTCAGTTTTAACGTAAATTATCTTTTGAAAACACACACAAAACAATCACTCAGTGAGCAAGCAAGAGTTTTATGGTTTACTTCAACGTACGAATCAGTGTTTTCATATTTGAAGGATGAAGCATTGTCAGCCAACAAGCAACGATACAGACGATTTCAAATGAAGAAGAAGCAATGACCATGACGTAAACTTCAATTCCACAAAACATCGGTCGGTGTTCACACACCAAACAAAAAAGAGTATCAGTGAATAGCGAAATTATGTATATATCGCCAAAGGGTTGATTTTAATTTAACCGTTATGGAAATCATATCAAATTGTCTACATAAACAGTATGAAGCATGATGTGGTTTTCTGAATATGACCAGTGTTCGGTAAAGATGAAGATAATAGATAAGATACCAGATAAGATACAGATAAGATGCTATCTATATCTTATCTGTAGCTAGACCGAAAAAATCTCATCTTATTTAGATACTTTAAAAAATTTCAGTATCTTTGAATGGTAGATAAGATACTTTTTAAGATAATTTTTTGAGAAAACAAATTTAAAAAATTTAAAGTATCTTATCTAATATCTTATTATTTAAAGTATCTTATCTAATATCTCATCTTATCTGCAGGTAAGATGCTTTTTAAGATATTCATCACGTATACACAAGGTGAAAATGATTGTCCGAGAATGAATGTGAGACAAAAATTGGTGACGACTCAGTACTTTTTGCATGGCGGTGTTACATTTCAATAAAATCTTAGGAGAAGTCTCAAATTAATTCTCGGACAATCAAATGTACAGTATCTTATCTAATATCTTATCTTATCTTGCAGATAAGATACTTTCTAAGATATTTCTAAAAAATTCAAATAAAAAATGTTCACCCATTTTTTATCTTCATAAATATCTCAGATAATCGAAGATATTATCTCATCTTCTATGTTTTTTTTTAGATAAGATCCTGTATCTTATCTAGATATTTTTTTCGACACACACAAAAATCTTATCTTATTTAGATACTCAAAAATTGGATTTTACCGAACACTGAATATGACACATACCACACATACGTAACAAAACAGTTACCGTACATCAAAAATTCATTATTTGCCTATTCAGTTCAAAGCATTGCGGTTCACATATGTGATTATTGTGCACTTGAAGACAAAGAGTCTATTTCAGTCGCCAATGTTTGTTGTTTTCAATGAATAACATCTCGAGAGATTTGAAAAAGGCGACAGCGACAAGTGAACTAAAACAAAAAAAAAACATGTTCGAAACGGCAAACGCTATCGGACCCCTCATAAACAGGTGATTGTGGAAAAGATAAAAAAATCGCATGAAATATTGCACCCTCAATGAATTTTAATCGCTTAACTCGGACATGCATTGCATGTTTTTGTCTCTTTGCATTTTTTACCGCTTCTTTCACTCTCGTGGTTCATGCTGCATTTGCATAGTGTTAATCTCCCCATTTATTAGCATCAGGTTTAATACATACATATAACCTTTTCTTGGTTGTGACCAGCAACGAAAGAGACAGAGAGAGCGAAAGCAAGATAAACAGAGAAAATAGTGAGTGAGCGAGAGAGATAGAGAAAACCCCAACTTGTTAAAACGCTTTAAAATCTGTGGTGATTGTTGGAACAAGTGATTTCATGAATTTTAATGAGTTTTCTTTGGCGGTGTTTTTTCTGTCAAAAAAAGATTTAAATATAAAAAATCCCAGTTCAAAGAGCAAAATCAATCGATATTTTAGCTTTTTTTTACAGTAAAACGTAATTAATAAAAATAATTGCAGGAAAACACATGCAATATATACGAAAAAGAAGGGCCGCATAATCCAAATGCTAACATCGATAGCATAATCCAAATTAATGCCATTTGCAAGAGTTGTCGTACAACGCACAAAAAATAGCTGTACTTTGGCTGCATCGAGCATAAGTAATTTGATTTTATATGGAATTTCAAATGTTGAGCCATAGAGCAAGCGACCGCAGACATAGACACGAAGCAACATGAATACGTTTGTGTTTTTTTTTTCATCGGATGCATATGTGTGATACTGAGCCGATGATAAACGTAGGGAACTCGATGCAAGACCTTAATTCGTGGCACTGAACCATTAAATTAATACTCAAATAAATTACCAATTACATGTTTATTCACTTTGAGCTTGAAATCACATGAACACAACGCATTTTGTCGCCAAAGCTGAATCGAGAGATATCGATGGTCAAACGAAAAGGTTTGATTGTTCTTTACAACAGTAAACGTGCACAGCAGAAAAATGAGATTGGAAGGAATTGCCAATGCACTTGATAACAATCGAATTGTTTTTCAGCCGGCAATGACACTAAAGCGAAAGTGAAAGTTGAAAAATGGATGTTATTCTTTTTTTTAGTTTTGTGTGTCTGTAGACAAAACAAAAAAGTTGATTCCGAATGATGTTTATAGGCCGGTATTTGCACTCAATATTTAAGCGGGCTTCATTATTTTTTTTTACCGTTTGAACATAAACAATTGAAAATGAAAACAATTGATACAGAATATTTGAGGAATATAAAAATGTTCTCAAAAATGTATCTCAACTCGTTTGCTGTATCGTCTTTAAAACAATGAATTTGATGCCTTGATAATTATTAACGAACAAAAACGTCGAAGGAGCAAATCAATGCATTGTACTGATTTTCGTGTTTTTTTTTTTTCTCAGAAGTAATATTTATTTTTTCCGGGGAAGTTGATTTGAAAACAAATGTATGTGGCCAAAGAATCATTTAGTTATTATTATCATCATTATTAGCTTACGCTTTCTTACGCTTACTTTGTCGTTACGAATAAATGTTTGTTTATTTTATAACATTTGTCGGTGTTTGTTTATCAAAAGAGTTGGTTTGACATCTTGGACGCATACAATTGAATCAAAAGAACATCTTATACATTTACAAATAAGAGATGCGACTTTGCGGCATCGAAACTGATTTTGTCGCGTCCACACGCACACAGAGACACTTTAGTTACATTTTACTAATGTGGCACACGCTTCGGAACAAAGATGTGATCAAATTTTCACTGTGGGTGTGTGTGAACCACCAATCGTTTTAGCGAAGTGTAACCAAATATTGATTCGTCTTCATTGTGCACAGTGCCTTTGAATCGATAAGAACGTCGTACAGCCGACATATTTTGTTTGTGTAAGGTGTAATTTTTGCTTGAAATATAAAAAGAAAATTCTTCTAATATTTCTGGTAAGATTTATACCGCAATTTTTTACATTTGTTGAAAATGAGTATTTTATGAGTTGAAATTATCTTTTCGCTGTTTAATATTAGAATTTCGTGGCAGTGACGTTTGATAGAATGGATTCGACCGATGATACAATGGATTCGTGCACAGATACGAAAAAACGTCGAATGGAAGAGTCAACACCAAGTAAAAAGGATGCAACGACAAATCAAATTTCGTTTGATACATTGAATTCTACACAGTTGACAAAAATTTTCTCCATGGTCGAATTGAAAGAATTGGCCGCATTGGGATCCACATGCAAAAAATTCAATCGAATTGCGCGCAAAGTGTTCGCTGCAAAACATCAGTCACAACTGATCGAAATATATGGAAATGGGCCACTGGTCAAAGTCGCTACAATATTGCGTTGTTTTCAAAACCAATTCACACGGCTCGCCATTTTCTATGCCAACAAACCAAAAGTCAATGTGAAAATCGACGTATTGATCAACAAATATTGCCGTCAAATGTTGAACGAACTCCAGTTATCTGATGTAGGATTGTATTCATCGGCCCGTTCGTTTATTTTTCCATTTCGGAATGTGATGCAATTGATCATTCGATCTGGTTTACTAAGCGGAAAATTGGATGACATTGCAACATCGTTTCCAAATGTCATGAGCATCGTTTTACACGCTGGTGTTCAGCCTGGTGGTGAAAAGTAAGTAATTTATTTTTCAATGGTGAACTTTTTTTCATACGAAACTGATGACTTTTTTTTCCATCGCATTCTCGCAAGAGATAACACAGCCATTCCTACGTTGCAACACTTGAGCATCAGTTTCGATCCAAACGTTGAATTGGATGCGTTTAAAACAACGTTGATGACATCAAATCCACAATTGACCAGCTTAATCATTGATTACAGTGATGATGCCCCGATTGGACATTTATTATTGATTCGCGATTCACTGCCAAATCTCCAACGACTTACGCTTCGTGTAAAGACGGTGTTTGTGGACAAGGAACCTTTCAAACCGTTGTTGTTCAAAAATCTTCGTTTTTTGACCATTTCCTACACCGTTTCAAATGTTTTACGAAACTTTGTCATCACATCTACATTTCCGTTTGAACTGCTCGACCTGTCAATTGAAGGAGGAATCATCGATGGTCATTGTGTTGAGTTTTTGAAACGACACCAAGCAAAACGTAATTTGACACATCAATTTATGGATTGAACATTTTCTAATGAAAATTATTTGTTTTATTTTGCTCAGATCTCCAGTTGACGCTGTCGAAAGTGAACAATCAACAAATCGAAAAACTCATTCCCGTCCTGTCGTCAGTTTCACATGTGAATTTTGTCATCCACAAGGAATTCAGCGTGACTCGGAGCGGTTTGATGCACTTTGTGTCGCAGTGTAAAAATCTTGAATACGTTCGTATTCAACAGCCAAATATGCTTTCATTACCGCCAATTGTGATCACTTGCATTGGCATCAACGAGAGCCTTTGGAACAAGGATTAATTTGACAAAAATTTACATTTTTGCTTAAGTAAAATGAGACCGTAATGGATAAGACATATTTTAGAAATGTTTCTAAACCGTAGACGGGATTTGATTGACGCTAGAAATAGGTGATTTTATTTTGAAGTTACCGAAAAAAATACAGATTAAATTTTAATGTGAAAAGGACTAAGGTGGAGAATATGCTAAAGGAGAAAATCAAATGAGTCAATGATATTGATGTGATGCATGTTACATGTCACGTTAGAAACTTAGTTCGTAAACATACCAGAGAAAAATGAAACATGAAACAATTTCGAATAATCGACATTGCAAAGTCGATAATAGATGGCGCTCCAAGTTGATCGCACACTTTTGAATATTTGAACATTCAAAAAATGGAGAGTATTCTTTTCCAAACGATACTTATCAAAGTAGAATTTAATTGAAACGAAATGCTCAAATAAATATAAAAATTGACTTATGATCTTGAATGCAATGTCATGAAAACTGTCAATTTCCAGGATATCGCACGCAATAATGAACTTTTCAGTGTTAGTTCATGCGATGACTTTGTAGTTCGCATTATCTTATAAGAAAAAAAATCAACTCAGGGTAGAAAAAATTAGCAAAATTCATTTGGAATAACAACATCATCTGAAATGTATTCTGTATATACATGTACCCGATTATTGTTAATGTGAATGCCTCATGAAAAACTGTGTAGAAAAAAAGTAAGCAAAATAAAATGTGCAACGTTGAATTTTGTTCAAATTTATACTTTTATTGATTTTTATAATAAATTATAATTTCAAAATTAAACTTTTGACTTTTGTTGTGTTGAACTCTTTATATGACTATGTATCATTTCACAATTTAAACTGTTTCATTTTTGTCATAGAAAATGAAATATTGAATGTCTCGGCTTCAATTGTTTTGGATTATAATAACTTTTTTTTTTGAATAACATGCACAAAAAATATATTTAAATATATTATGTCTATATATATATTTGTAATCTGTTAGTATATTTTTATTTTGATATAGGCAGATTTTTCAACTGTTCCATAATGTGTGATTTCATTTAACTTCGTTCATAAGCGATTCGTTTTTGTCTATTTCCATGTATATGGCATGTATATTTGATTGTGACCTTACTATTTAAATCTATTGTGTTTTGTACGAACATCGTGCTTTTATTCTATTTATTTTCATATGTAGATTCTGATTTTAATTATTTGATATCTCTTTTGATAAATCCTCTTTCATTCACTAACATCAAAAATGTGTTGATATTTACTAAATTATCTGTATATGGTATTATGAGGATTAAGTGCAAATCATTTAGTGATTGTACTTAAAATCATACATTAAATAAAAGCGTTTTTAATATTATTTTCATTTTTTTTAAATACACATATTTATAATGGTAGAAGGATATTGTATGATTGCAATTTCTAAAACCGTTGTTATTTTTCCATCACTTATTTTTAGTATTTATTTTCTTTTAGTGGAAGGAATAAAAGTTGTGTTTGTTTGAACAACAGAAAAAAGATAAATAAAAAATTCAGCACGTTGACTGGCATAGACACTTATTACGATTACGATATACTCTTTCATTCTTTAAATACGTAAGAATCTTAACACAAGTAAAAATTTTTGATTTGAAAATTATCTAACTAAAACGATCGAGAAAAAAAAAGGTAATTATTAAACAAATATCTTCACTTCAGCAGTGCTTATTTGCTAGAAATTACATTGAAATTTTGTCAGATAAGTTTTTTTTCTGCTTTGAAATTGTTTCACTTTGTATATACAGTACATCTATATCTTTATTTATTTAAATAGTATTATTGTAAATAAATTCATTCAGTGACTCTTTTTCTCTGTGTATATAGCATGATTTGATGATTGATTTAGTTAAAAGATGAATTTATTAGAAAGTTTTCAAGTGGTTTTCACACTTGTACCGTTCATATATATATTATCAAATTATCTTAAATTAATTTAGGCTTCCTTTGAAACAGAATGCATAAAATGCGCTCAGACGAGCTTCGAAAAAAGGTATACAAAAGTCATATACACTGTCGACAGAAAGTTTGGGTACGATTAACAATTTTCATAAAAATCATTTTTTAGGAGATTGCAAATTTGAATACCAAAAAAATTATGAAGGAGTCATTTTGGACAGTTATTGTCTTCAGATGAAATGCAGTCCATTCTGTGATCTACATTTCGTCTGAATAGACCATCTACTGGAAATGGCTCCTCTGAAATGAGTCCGCGACACGTGTGAAAAACGGCACTTTGTATGAAAATCGTTAATCGTACCCAAACTTTCTGACGGCAGTGTATATTATATATATATATATATATATTATTAAGTGGAAAAAATACTCAATAAATCTAAAAAAAACTATATGTGCCAATTTCTTTTTGAGATTGAATGAGGAAGACAATAAAACAAAACTGATATTTCTTGTGGATATGAGTGTTTTTTTATTGAATATGAACTCGATAAAATCGATTTTACGAAATTTGTCGACATTCACCGTTCAAAAAAAAAAAATTATCGAAAAAGATGTCATCCCCAAAATTTCACAATTGTGAGAGAGTTCCGTAAGTTGAAAAGTGAGAGCAGATGCACGGATAAAATTGTCGAAATTCGCAACATAATTTGCGATACAAAATTAATCAAGTTTTGATTGAACTTTTGATGTGCGTGTCAAATTGTCCCTAAATACATAGCTTCTGGAGTTGGCGATCCAGGGGGGGATTGTAATTTCAAAATTTTCCAAAAATGTAAAGGGGTCACTTTTTCGATTTGGTCTCGCACAAATTCAAAAATGCATTTTTGAATAGTTCATTCCTGGGGGGGAGGGGGGGTTGTCTCAGAGCATTTGCCTCAAAAAACCCTACCAAATTGAAAGATTTTTCTCTTCGCCCAAAAATCCTAGCAAAATTGAATATTTTCTCCCGTTTTACAAAGTGAAGAGCTAAAAAAAAGGTCTTCACATTTTTCGCGAAAATCCTTAGCAAATCGAAAGAATATTTTTCTCAAAAAAATTAAATTTCTAAGGGGGTTATTCCCAAATCTGTTCTCCAGGGGGGTAATCCAACCCCTCGGACCCCTGCTCAGAAGCTATGCCTAAATACGTGGATAAAATATATCTATAGCCATTGACGTTCTTATATTTTTTTTCTTTGCTTTTGTTTTTTTTTTTTTCTTTTTTACTGTGTTCGCTAAAATATATACATCCAAAATGAAAACACAGACAGAAACAACGTTTACCTCTCTATATGTATATTGATTTGATTTCCTTTTTGTGTTTGTTCATTGTTCATTAAACCATGAATGAATTATTCTCATATTCACAAAATGTTTGCATCTTATTTTCAAATTTAAATAAAAATTTGATTACGCGTTATGTGAACGGACGAAAGATAATAAAAAAAAGCTACAGTATATGAATGTATATAGTGATTTTTGTTTGTTGCTTCTTCCTTACATCATCATCATCATCATCATCATCAATGATACTTTTTTGAGACATTGTTCTGGTTCGAAGATATAGTACATATAGATAGTGCTCCATTTAGGTTAAGAGTTTAAGCATACATTTATATAGACAATTTCAATGGAGCAATAATGGCTTAATATAAGTACAATTCGGTTTCCCTCATTTCATGAAACAATTAATTTTCCACGTAAATGTGAGGACATCGTAAGGATAATAAACGGAGAGAAATGTATCGAGTTTGTTTTGTGTATAGATGATTTTAAAATATTTATCTCAAAAAATGCCATAATGCAATGGGCTGTCGAGCATTATGGATCATATCATGCCAATGTTGTCGACCGATACCATGTTCCAATGGACCGATGCCACAACTCAATGCATTCGATTCACCTCCAGAGGATACCACGTAAATCTAAAAAAAGTCGTAATTTTTTATGTAAGTCAATTGGAATTCACACGATTTTTTATTTAAAAATTAAAATTCAATTTCACACCGATACAAACAAGTTGAAAGTGAACCTACCTCAAGGGCAGCATTTTGAAGATTCGATTGAGAAAAATTAAAAGTGAATGCTTCATTCCAAACTGGATTGCTTGCATTACCCGATTTGCCTAGGCTGCTCTTTTTCTTCTTCACTCGTTTCCCATTCACTATCAGATACATCTGAAAATATAGCACAAATATTTGGTTAATGTTGATTGACAATTTTAAATGAAATTCTAAAAATTTACTTTGACATAAGGATTATGTTCAGTTTCCAAATTCTTTGCTTTCATTATAACAATGGTCAAACGTTCGGCTTGAGGTAGATAGTTCAATGATAGCAGTAGCTCGGGTCTTTCAACTGCCGGTTTTCGTTTTCTTATCAGTTCAGCCCAAATCTGAGAGTACGTTAAAAAAAAAGAGTGAAAAACATGGAAACACAATTTTTGTTGTAAATATTTAAAATGACGTGTGCAAACCTCGACCGATTTTGTGAGTTCCATCTCATCAATATTGATTCGCACCTCTCCCATTGAATCGTTTTGTGAATAGCGATCACAGTCCATGACTTGTATAATCAGTTCTTTGCCAGGTAGCTAAAAATTAGTGCGAAATGTAATTAGATGAATTTATGAATTTATTTAATCGAAAAATGTTTGGCAAGTGATTAAAATTCATCATACTTGATCACGTGAAACCGGAAATTTAAAATGTTGATCAAAATAAGGATGATGTTCACCTCGTGCGACAATCGACTCTCGTTTACGATTATCCACTTCTGGCATTAGTGTTAAACGAACCAAAATGGAACGAAAGCCACCATCTTCGATGGGACACAGATTTTGTGCTACATATATAATCATAAATACACGGATGTCAAACGTTTATGTTGCATAGTTCAAGTGAAAGAGAAAAGTGTGTACGAAAATGAATGTTGACAGCCAATACCTTCGATTAAATGAACAGCCAAATCACATAAATGTGAATCGTATTTTAGATGAAAATGTAGTTTTCCAAAGGCTAAATTATCGTCGGGTGCATTGATGTAGACGGGTCCTTCATGACCACGATACAAATCCGGTTGAATTGCACCCAGCGGACTTGCTGGTGCTGCGCTATTGCTATCCACATCTATCAATATTGAAACAAAATTTCGTTTTAATTAACATGAATTATGTGAGAAAAGTGACTGTAAGTTGAAATTACTATTCAATTTTGGTGGTAAAAGTAACGGAGATAAGCAACGGCCAAGTTTTGGTGAAATACATGCGGTACTAGCACATGCTGTACTACTCGCAAGCGATGCCAAACAACTCGGACTCAATTCACAATTATCACTCGATGCTGGAGACGAACAACGTGCATCAAAACTCTGTGCGGCTCTCAATGGGCTGTTGGATGTTCGTGAAAAATGAAATAATGATTGTTCATTTGTTGATGTGCTTCTTCCGTCTGGTCCAAATGCTCGAATTTGTGGTGATGATCCACGGTGGGCCTATCGAAAGAGAAAAACACCAAAAAAATACATCAATTCAGTATTCATAAATAATTACAAATAAGAGAAAATGTGTGCCTTACTGATTGTCGTGTTGGTGTGCTATCTAAGCTACTTTGGCTTGAAATCGATGGTGTCCTTTGTAAGCGAGGCGGAAATGATTTACTTTGATGCTGTAAAGGCGAATGTAATACGGAAGGTGATTGTGATGATGACGATGACGTTTCGATTGTATTCACGGCTGTGTGGCTGATTGGTACAAATGTCTGAGCTGCTGTAGATGTTGTAGTTGGTGTTGTTGTTGTCATCGTCGTCGTCGACGATAACAGCGACGGTAACGGTGTTTCTGTTACTACAGTCGCATGCGAATGATTTGTACAATCCTATTTGTGCGAAAGACACATGAATATTGCATTAAATTGATTCGGAATTTGAATGCAATACACCAATGAAACCAGTCAATAAGTTTATTGGTGCGGCGGATGTAATGGTAAATTTTAATATGATTTTCTTTCAGCAGACGTTGAATTTTAATTAAAAATTTCCATTGAAATTGAGATAGAACATAGATAGACACAGAGAGAGAGAGTAATAGACAAATGTACAAATGGAATGAATCGATGGAAAATTTAATTTTCATATTGTACAGTGTACACGCTATCTGTCTATCTCTATGTTTGGATTTGAATTTTACCTCGGTCGATGCAAACGAATCGTTATTGGAATCGGTGCTCATGTTCATCGATGTGCTTGCATTGGATGCTTTGCTACCGTCACTTTTGTCGGTAGATTTGCGAACGGCACCCACTCTCTCCTTGGCCAAACGTGACCATGATTCGATTCGTTTGTGTGCCAACCAACACGCTGCAGGTCCTAGGCCACTCATTTCCTTTCTCAAAATACGATCTTAAAATGGTTCGAGATTTAAATTAGAATCTTACGCTAAATCGGTTTTCAATAATCGTTCCAAGAAAATGTTCCGATTGTCTTTTTCTGTTCCGAATGCTACAGCCACATGAAATATGCTTGATTTTCTACGTTTTTCAATTATTCCATGGCATTGAACATAAGTGATCTTGTGTTTTCTTTAGCTGTTCTCTGAAATTATCCAAAAAACATACATATTGTTAATCGTGAAAATCTTCCAAATGCAAATTAGCCGAAGATCTTGTTCTAAGCATAGTTTTAAACAAAACAATACCTAACACCAATTGATAGAAATCATGTCGTACTGTTTATTTGTGTACTTTAGATTCAATATAATTAATAAGAATATGAATACGGCTCGAACTTCTGCATGATAGCTTCAGCATTATATGAGTTTTCCGATAGAAATCGCGTTGTTTGGTTTTTCAAAAATTGAAAATTGCATAGTTTCGAATGAGGAACGAAAGTTATGTTGACAAACCAGACCGAACCAAAAATGATCATCACGTAAGATTATTTATGCATCATGCCATAAAAGTAGCAATGCTCACGTTCATTTTTGTTTTATTTTTCGCTCGATTGGATTATGTTGTGTGGTCAGTATCATAAAATGACATGGGTGCATTGCAACCGACATCGAAACAAGGCACATACCGTAAACATAGGCATTTTATATATCAACAATAAACAGTGAGGGATATACATTTATATTGACACCTTTTCGAAACATAGCTCGAATTACCATTGAATGAGCATAAATTTCACGTTCAACAGTGTCGAAATAAATGAATTTTCGGTTCGTTCGAACACAAACGAAGCCCGAGCGTAATATTGAATTTGAATTGGTATCAAAAGAATAAAATGTTTGCTTTAAACGAGATATATGAAATAGAGCATGGAAATACTGAAAGGCATGGAAAAATTGAGGTAACCGCAGACAAATGGTCGTGACCGCGTGTGTTGCGCTCAATCAAAACACAAAATCACACTGAGAGATAGATCGAAGGTGGTGGATAGAAAATCGAAAAGGAGGTGGAGGTGGTGATGAAAATGCGTATACACATACGGTTTAGTTGGATATAATAAATTCGACATTTGTTAAGCAAACAAACACCAATACAATGCTTTCAAAATTATTCGGCAGGACAACAGCTATGAGATAGAGTTTTATTGAGAGAGTGTTTTATTCATATTTATTTCGTCATTATCATTTGTCTTTTTTTACCTTTTCTCTTCTATTTTTTGGTCGCTTTGGTCATTTCAATGCGACCATTTTCCTGGACTTCATTCATTATAATTGTTTATTATACTCTTTTTTTTCTCTGTCGATTATTCCATTGACATAATTGTTATTTGTGTACAAAATGCTTATAAGCAGATCAAAAATTGAATTTATTTATAGAAGCCATGCGACGCGTTATCTAAACACGATTTTGTAATATTTGCTTTCCAATTGTTTTTTATTACTTTTTATGCCGAATCATTCGATTGAAGTGTGTGTGCATGTGTCTGCTTTGTTACAACCACTTTGTGACACATTCTCTCGCTGACAAATTTGTGTGTTATTTGTTTGCACAATTGTCAATTTATATGTGATGCTATTGAATTTGGTAAACAATGTAAATATAAAGGGAACACGAAAAAGAATTCGAGCTCCGTAGAGAAAAAGAGAGCGAGAGAGAGAGAGAGAGAGAGAGAGAGATAGAGAGAGAGAGAGATTGACGAGTTGTTTGCTTTACAAGCACAAACTAACAATACCAAAACAATTTCCAAGAAATCAGTGTCACTTCAATCCATATACATATTCCTTTTTGTCAGTTATTGCTCAACAAAGCTCAACAAATTTTCTCTGTTACTCTTCGATAAAAATGTTGGCGCATGGTTTCATCGATGATTGCAAGTTTTGCCAATATAAATTGTCTGTTATAAAATTGATGATACGTATATACACGTTGTCGACGATTCATTGCGTGGCGAAAGAAAAAAATGTCAACGCATTTGATTGAATATTTGGCTATAGTTCCATTTTTCGATAAGAATGCTTTATTTCAATGCGTTCCCTTACATGCGATGAATCATTTTTCGTTTTGAATTCTTAATGTGTGTCACTTTTTAATCAAATTCCTTCATTATCATTATTTAATAATTTTCTTGATGTTTATCACATTGAAAATGGATGCGACATTGCATTCTAGATACATTTTTATGGGCATTTTGATGTTCTGCTTGTATCAGCACAGCATTTTGTCATTTATCATTTCATTTGTATTATTTGTGTGTGTGTTTCGACTGTGCATTGTTTGTATTGCACACTAAACACCTCTCCAAACAATGGCACGCAATAAAATAGGTAGAAAGTGTCAAGAGGACATTGAACATTTAATTTATTTTAAAATTGCAAAGAAAATAAAAGAAAAAAACATCACATACAATAGCCAATAACAATAACATTGAAAAGTGGACGATTTTTGTTTATGAATGAAACAAACTCGCTTCATGGTCATTCGAATCGATGTGTATTCGAAAGAAAAACCATTCATTTCAATTTCTATCAATTTTGAATTTCTTTCGGTTTCGATCGCCTCACCAAAATGAATACGATGTTTTTGTCTTTCTCTATAAAAAATGGATTTTTTTTGCTCCTTTTTGGTTCGGAGAATCGTTGAAAAAATGCACGTGTTGAAAACAGATAGCCTAAACATTAATGTAAACAGCACACTCGATATTTGACCATGTCTTTTGATTTAACGGAATATAATAGAGGCAAACTGTTGCCCATAAACGTTTAAATGCGCTTTTGACCATTTTTTTCATCTCGTTTTTTGACCTGGTCTATTTTGTGTACATTGGCTATTCGGTTTTTTCGTCTTCTACTCTCTATTACGTCATAAAGTACACAAACACACACGCTTTCGATGACTTTTTATTCTATCGAAGTGAAATTAAGTGGAAAATCACTTCTGGTGCTTCATTTAGATTATGCGCACACACACAATTGGCGAATTAGGTATATTTCATGTTGTCGGACGAGCAACATAATAGAATGTTGTATGGTTTTTTGTCAAACGATGTTACCTATTTGCCTGAAGTATGATCGAACGTAAAGCATGCCTTTCTATTGTATATATTTCTAAATTGATAATGAAATTACATAAAAAATACACACACAATACCCACAACAAGAAATATGCCTTGTGCATTGGAATTTTCTTGTTGGTATGCACAATTTCTATCTATCCTTGTTTTCTATCGCCCTTCTCCTTTCACTGGCATATTTCATATTTTATTGGATACATCTAATGGTTACACAATTCTTTTGTAATTTTATTTTCATATAATTGTATCAAATGCCATGCGATTATTTGTTTGTGTGCTTTGTTTCGTGTGTTTGTATTTCAAAATGCTATTTGAGCCACACTCGTGCTTAGATACCGTTCTTTTAGTTCATAATCATTTTTCCTTTTTACTTTTCCGCACACACCTAGTGTGAAAGGGGAAAGTATTGCAATAGGTCAAAATTTACGAAACCTCAAAAACATGTTTTCTGGACGTTTCTGAGGTCAGAGAACCCGAATCAGGCCGTTTTGAGCATGGTTGTTGTGGGTCGCTTCCACGTCGTACGTCGTACGTCGTACGTCGTACGTCGTACGTTGTCCGCCGTACGCAAAATTTGTCCATCGATTTTCTCACCACCCAGAAAAGTTATTTGAAATCTGACTTCACGGGATGATTGGGGGTCCCCAGGAATAGAAATCATCAGATTTTGAGTGACTTTGGTTGAAGGAAAAAAATTCCATGCCTGGAGTGATACCTATGGAAAAAAGACCAATTTTCGTCCAAAAGTCATACTTAATGTAGACTTAAACACTCAAAAATATGTATTGGGGGGTTTTTTGGCACGAGAAAACCGAATCCGACGTTAGTTTTGAGATACAATCAATTTTTAATACAGTTTCCTTGAAAAAATCACAAAAAATTTGGATTTTTGTATGGGAGCCATGCCTGTATGCTACCTTAATGACGTGAAACTTTGCACAGACTATTTTTTACACAAAAGTATAACATTCTGAAAATTTGAAGAGATTTCAATTAAAATTAGGGGTACCTCCCATACAAAATTTTCAATTGGCTCAAAAACGAATATTTTGTATGGGAGGTACTCTTGATTTTGGTTGAAATTTCTCCAAACCCTCCGAATGTTATTTGTGAAAAAAAATAACCTGTGCAAAGTTTCACGCCATTAAGGTAGCATACAGACATGGCTCCCATACAAAAATCCAAATTTGTTGTGACTTTAGTTATGAAAAGTGTTTCAAAAATAATTTTTATGGCAAAATTAACGTCAGATATATTTTTATAGTATTTTGTTAGAAAATAGAATACTTTCAAATGTCGTACAAATGGGTTCATCATGAAAGTGTGAAAAATCTTTTCTCGGGTACTTCTGCTATTAAATTAAAGAATATTTCGTTGCCAAAGTTGAAAAATATTTTTTGGTCTCGAACTTTACGCCGCTTGAAAGACTTGAAGAATCGAGCAAATATTATTTTGAATTTTCTTAATAAAATACGCAACTACCACCGTGCGGAAAAGTTCGTCTTACTCCCGTAAGACTCTTTATTTCTCTCTCGTTTCTATTCTTTGTAGGTAAGCGCGCGCATTGTGTGTTATTTGTATTTTTGTTGAATTTCATTCTGGTGATAAATCGTCGACAAGTCTTTTGATTTGACTCAATGCTCCGCAACATACCAACGCAGACACGATACCGGTGCTAGATCTAGTGCTCGCGTATGCGCTTTTTTCGTTTTGTTTTCGTTCAGTTAGAACTTAGAAGCACTTATGGCATTTTATTGGGTTTATTGTTTGTTCAACAGATGCAGATGGTGCGACAAATTACACAAACACACACACACACACACACACGGCTCTCTTGGTGTAAATGCTTTGTGTCAATTTGGAATGAGAAAAGCGACATAAAAGTTTAACAAAAAAAAACTACTGACGATAAAGAAATTGTCAAAACCACTGTGAAATTGTTTTGGAGTGGAAAATGGCATCAAGCAATTTCCCATCACAATTGGCTGTATCTTTCAGCTATATCTTGAATGGTACAAAGTGATTAACTCAATCCAAACCACTAACGAATGACTGCTTCAAGTGCATGGCAATAA